AGAAGGAGGAAGTGAACACTTTCCCCCTCAGTCTCTTTTAATTTACACCGACTCGCCAAACTGTCCATCTCATTACCCTCATATTTTCTTTCCTTACGCCTCCCTTCGCTTTCTGTCCAGACTCCCTTGACCTCAAACCACCTCATTTGCCTGGTTCAATTCGAGCCTCGTCTTTTTTGTTATCTAGTTAATCTAAAAAGTTGGGAAAGAGACGAGGCTTCACAGCATCGTTCACCCGTGAAATCTGGCCCCGATGGCCACATCTTTGTTAGATTTTAGACTTACCTTCTCTTTGCAAGACTGCAAGGTTTAGTTCACTGCAACATCAACAATACCTGCAGCATCTGATGCTAATGGAGCAACTGGGGTTCAAACCTCTGAAGATTCCTCCATTGATTCCTGCAGATCAAAGAATCACTGGCCTAAGCTTACTTTAATTGCCTTGGTCAGAATGCATTACAGGACAACTGAGTGGTGGTATTGATCAGTAAATAGCTCAGGTCTGTCTGAATGCAATCTTAGAACCTGATTGCATGGCTTCAGGTACACCAAGGTGACTTGTTTTGTAAGAAAAGCAGCCAGCGTCGCTTTTAGAGTAGGTTTCAGCAGGATTACACCGGAGGAAACTAATGCTGTAATGTTCATCTATCGAAAGTCTTCTGCATTGCTGTGTTTCGGTTGTACTTGGAAGTGGGAAATTCAGACTTCCTAGTTGAAAAAAATCAACTGGAGTCGGGGAAACTGGGAGAAACGCCAACTGCTTCCAGTCACGACTTACAAACAGACTTTACATTCCAACATGGCCGCTCCTCGCATCACCAGTGGTAGAACGTGGTGGAAACATATTCCTTTTACAAGGCAAACATGTAAAAGTATGTCTTGAATCAACGTTACATGCAACTCTAAACTGTAAACAGTAAATGTTAAAGATCCTCTTTCTGTATAAAAGCACTGATCTAATTTGCCGGCTCTCGTTTGTGCATTAGCAAAGATTCACATTTACAGAAACGACGCGCGTCTCGTTTTTCACCCCAGTCATTGCCATTTTCCTGACCCCAAATCCTTAATCACCGCCGTCCTCCCGCTCGTTCTTTTTCATGTTGTTCCTCTGAGCTTTCAGCTGGAATGATTAGTATCGATTTGTCTGGACCCACGAGTGAGTGCGCACACCGGCAGCTCCAAGACACAACATCTAACCCCCTGAAGGCAGGCAGCGCTGGGCTCGGCTGAGTTCATGACAGCGATGTTCACACTTCGCCCCGATATTCCACCACAGCTGCTGCTGCTGCTAACGGGGCACGCACGAAGAAAACTAACTAAATATACATGTTTACAGTTCACACACACACACATCATTCTTGTGGCGATGGCTTATGGGAAACTAGAGACGACTGGTTTCTTAGCAACCGGAGGGGAGTTACGAGTAAATGTGTTAAAAAAAATGATGTGCGGCAGGAACCAATGGGACGGGTCGTTTCACAGGCAGCCAATGAAAACCGGCTGTTAATAAGTCTGCCTACATGGAGACAGATATATCTCCATTAATAGCACAAGAACTGTAACTACGACTTGGAGAACAGATCACGTGTGTGTGTGTGTGTGTGTGTGTGTGCAAACTCAGCCAAATGCTGCAGGATCTTGACTGAAATGAGATATCTCAAAGCTTACACACCCCACTGTACGCAGAGGGGCTCATGAATTCCCAGTAAGATGGGAGGAAATGGTCTCTGATATTTCCCTGGGTTAATAAATGCTTCAAAGCCTCACACTGGAACCAATCTTCACGCTGCAGAGGAGCACAAAAAGCTCTCCTCGGGCGCCAAACTGTGCATGTGCATTCAGAAAAGTAGGAAACGAACAGAAAGTGGCGGCACCAGAGTTCAGCCACCTTTTGGTCTTTCCACAAAACAAAAAGCCACTCAGGAAGAACTAAACACTTTTTTATTGAATGTCAGTTTGTAGACTGTAGGTCGTTTTTCTACCATCTAAGGCTGACGCGTCCAGGTTGGTGGTTTTTACATTGTGCTGGTTCTGCAGCAGCTGCTTGCAGTCAGAGCCAGCGAAGCGTGAAACTTACTGCACATGCAATATTTTATCCTGGAAAAGGTTAAAGGTACGTAATCAGGTTAGCAGGATGCCATACTGGCCGCTGTGAAGATAGATGCTAATAGGATTAGCTTTGCATTAGCTGCCTGTTACACCTGCTGTTTACTTTAACAGAGTTCTGCTGTTGGATTCTCACATCAGGCAAAATAAAGGGGAGGTAGCATCATGGTATGTGGATGAACACACTTTAACTAAAAGATGTAAGAGGAACATTTCCTGCTTTGGAATCACAGACTGATGATTTTTGTTTGAAAATAAATAATAAGGCTTTTTAAAAATAATTTTTGACATTGTGTGATGTACACAAATCATAACTTAATCTGAGGAACCCAGAAAATGAAAATCGCAGTGCTACTAAGCTAGTTCATGTCGTTTTCATAATAAAAATACATTAGAGTATTAGAGATTTATAAATTTGAAACAGCCTGAAAGTAATGACACTTTATATGAGCAGAACAAATTTATTTTTTAAAGTTTTTCTAATTTAGTGGGTCAGATCTGCTTAATGAGGTCAGATCAGAGTGGTTTATAGAGCCTGGCAGAGATGACAGGTCAGACTCAGAATATCTGGTTGTTTTAAGTCATAATAAATAAAAACTTCTCAGAAAATCACCCACTGGGTTCTTTCTATGGGCTTTACTACCACAAAGTAATGATCTGCTAAATAGGAGATCAGAGTAACCAAGCAGAATCCAAAGTAAAAGTCTGGATGATTATCGGCTTCACTGCTGAATGAGAGAAAAACGGTTTCTTTTCCTGTCCTTCCATCCTGATATCACTGATCCCTCCCTCTATTTACCTCCCAACTTTCCTTCCCTTTATGCTCCTACCTGACTGTTACTTTGTTCACTTTCATAACTTTGCAGAACAAGTTCATGCAGGCTGGAAATAAGTGAAATTCTTCATGTAATTGTTGGTTTTATAACAAAGTCTGAGCTAAATCTCTGCCTTTAAGCCATAAACTTTACTTTTTTATGGTGATTTTTCTCTTTAACGATTAAAAATCCCTTTTAAAAATGTCTGTTACCTCAGCCACCATGGTGGTGATGAAATACAACGCAGACCAATTATTATGCCCCTCAGGGAACAAATAATTGAACAGAAGGTAGATTTAACCTGATTGCTGTGTTTTTTTTATGTCTGCAGCTGGTTTGAAGCAAAACTAGATTAAAAACATTTTTTTTATGTTCAAATAATTCTGTGAACATTGCATCTTTCAGATGCCAAAATGTGGCCCAGCGCTCTAAAACATGCATGACGGAGAACTAAAAGAATTATTACCGAAACAGCATGACTCCCTCACTATGAGGAGAGCCTATTGCATAACCGAGGAGGCACTTCAGCTACATTTTTACTAAAATGTAGAAAATCAAGACCAGGAATTTACCAGCAGGACACAAACAGCTCAAACTTGTGCAATAATGAGTCGTTGAATCACCAAAGCCTCATCTGCGCTTTGATACTTTAACGCAAAGCCTGCATAGTGAGCACTAAAGTCCAGATCCACTACTTGCATGCACAGACAGTAAATTAGCCCAGTCAGCTGTGGAGACTGAGAGCCCTGGACTAGTTTAGTGTGCTGTAATCATCTCAGCCTTAATGGAGAAAGAGACTAAAGATACATAAAACAACTGCAAGGATCTCTGGATCAACTGCATCTGGGTTTCACAGCTATCCGTTATCCCTCTTTCCCCATCTCGTCCCAAACAGCTCACCTCTTCTCCTTCCAAATGCAGCAGCAGCAGTTCACTCCCCTCGTCTTGTTTCCTCCTGACTGCCGCTTTGTTGCCGTGCAGGACAAGTGCTTTATTTTCTCCTCTCTCTTTTCTCTCTTAGCCACAGCTGTCCTATCTTTACTCCTCGCCTCCTCACCACCGGCTTTGTCTCCCTTTCTCTCACCCTCACTCCTCTCTGCAGATCTCCAGAGCTCAACAACTCCTCCTCTTCCTTCAGCTTGCAGCAGCCGGGCTACATCTCTTACATGTCTCTGCCTGAGCTCTGCCTTTCTCTCTCCGCTGCACGCACAATCCCTCTCCCTGCGCCCTCTCTGTTTTTACCAGGCTTACGTTCGCCCTCCTCCTCCTCCTCCTCTAGCTCATCACTATGGAGACACTGAGCTTTGACTGGGACAAGCTCGTGCTCGCAAGGAGTGGAAGCTCGTCTGTGTTGTGTGCTGCCCATGCTGAACGAACCCAACAGCGGTGCTATCGTATCGTGAAGATTTTCAAGAAAAACAAATCTCGTTGGGCGTGACGGAGATGGAGAAAAGAAATCGTCTCCTTGAAGATTTATTTTGTCAGATCATAAAACCTTTAACAAGAAACAAAATGCTTTCTTAAAATGATTCCCTCTATTATTAAGAAGAGAAACCAGCCAAAAAATTCAGAACTGAACTTACTGATGTGTTTTGGGTCATGAGTTTATGACCCAAAATAATCTGTTTGGCCTACTTCATGTTGTCACTCAGGTTCTTTTTCAGTGGTTTTCCTGATTCTACATGTTAATTGCTGCTAATTTATGGATCAACAAGTGGATAAAAACATTTTTTCCCATAGAACTAAGTTTGTTTAAATAGTTTTTCTACTGTTAAATCAGTAAAAACAGAATTTGAAAACTGCAATTTGTCTTTACGAAGCGTATCTATGTCTAATATTAACATTCAGTTGATAATTGTGATTAAAAAAAAAAACGAAACAATCTGTTAAAGACATTTTACTGCACTGAACATACAATCTCTGGCCAAACTTTTCTTTTAATTGGATTCTAAAATGTCAAACTATTTCCGACTTCTTGAAATTAAAAATCAGCTTTTAGTTTGAAATGTCGCAAATTTAACAGACAAAGAACATAATTACAGTGGAGCTGTTCCAATCGGAGATTTTGAGGCTGATTTCCAAACTATTTTGCAACGCGATCATGACAGATGATGTTTTCTCCAAATAAAACAATGAGCTGCATTGTTTTCTCTAATGACACATTAGGTACCTCGGATTTTATTGTCTGGTTGAGTTACAGACATGTTGGGGCAATGGACAGAAAACAGCTCAGAATGCTGAAAATACTATCTGATCATCAGCGTTCTTTTATTAGGAGCAGTTATTACTGACGATGTGATTTCTAGTTCTCTCTCTAAAAGTTGGGTTATCCGAGTACTGGATTGATTTAACCTGACATTTGCAGAATCAGGTAAACACCAGAAGAAATGTGATGCTTTATTCAAAGCATGAGTAAAGTTTATATGTAAAGGGTATTTGTTAACAGAGTCGGATCAGATGGAAGTCAAGCTTGACGTCAGCCCAGCTATTTCTGGCTTTTCGGTGGTCTACTTAAGTGATCAAGTGGACTGAACCAAACATAGAACATAACTCGGTTTCTATTTTACCTGACAAAACTTTAACTGATAAAAACAAAAGCCCTGCAGTTCATAAGGGATCTTACATGTTAAGTTTACCGATTTAAATTTGCACAAGGCATCAGCTTTAAAAATCTCTGTAAATGATAAGCCGTCTGCAGAGATTTAAGAAGTAGGACGACTGTTCAAACATGAGAAGTTAGTGCACTTCATCTAAAAGTATACTTAACAACTGTTATAAGTTTAAACATCATGAACATTATCTCAAATCTGCACATTGGAAATGGTGCAATTCACAAACCAATGACCAATGTTTTTGATAAAATCTCCAAAGCAGATGACGATAAACTAACGGGACAAGACGAACGCAACAAGAACACATTTTGGCGATGCTTTCTAGTTGATGTGAAAGCTGAAATTTGGATTTTTGAAAACCATGACATCCAAATAATCTGTGTAAAAAAACTAATACAAGACAATAATGTATTTAAAACACTGTGGCTTGCTTTTAATTTGGCGTAATTGACTGAATCATTAAGCTGTTTGGTCAACAATCACAGTCTGTTGACGACAGGTAGAAAGGTAAGCTTTCTGGGCAGAATCACCCAAAAACTCTACTTGGTTACATCAAACAGCTGATTTTTAGATATTCATTGTTTTTCCTTTCCGTAAAACTGCTGTAAAATGTGGATAAGAGGCTGTAATTCTGCATTATTGAGCACAATTTTCTCGCCGTGAAGCAGGAGGAGGTTTTGTGCAGAGTGTTTACTCGATTCCTGCAACTGAAGTCAGAATGACCACACAGCCCACCTCTAGAGAGAAACACTGGTTAAAAGTTCGCCTGTGGGGTCACACACACTCCCTCCTGGTGCCTCCCACAAGACCCGCCATTCAGAGAGCGACACCACAGGAAACACACACTCCAGTCCGGAGGCGAATCTTCCCACATAAAGGTCAACACAATCTACATCTGGCTCCTCTGCCGACACGCAGCACCACTGATGATCGCCGTTGTTTGGGGGGGGGGGAAATGTGGGGGCGCTAAGCTGCACTAGCAGAAGTTCTGGATGCATATAGGTGTGGGAGATATGAGGTATATGATCCTGCGGTGTCCAACCATCTGGTGATGGGATGTGAGACAATCTGTCCATTTGGAGAGGCGACAGAGAAGGCGATAAGCAAAGAAATCTCACATACAGAGGATCTGGAATCGTGTCAAGAAAACACAACCCTATGCACGTACACACAAACAGGTTTTAGATTACTTATACCAACTGCACCGTCTCTATGGTAACTAGCAGCTGTCATGGCAACCAAGTACAAACGACGTTAGAAAAAAACAAACCTTGAACTCTGATTTTCAGTTTTGATTTGGATAACTTGAACAGAAAACTCAGACTCTTTTTTTCTTTTTTCTCCAGACACACTGAAGTATTTTCTTTCACTTCCTGACGTTAAAGCGGTTTAATGGAAGATGCAGGTACAAGTTCGAACACGGTCACAAGCCTTCACAAGCCTTCACAAGCCAGAGGAAGGCATGAAGGAGGAAAATCTTTGCTTAAGTACTTTACCAAAAATGGCAAAAAAAAAAACAAAACACCGATAATATTCTCCTCTGATGAATTACTCAGCGTGCTGAGCTATAAAAGCTGACTAATGAATCCGCGTCTCGGTTGGAAAGCGTTTGCAACGTTTAAAATCCTGTTACCAAAACGCCCCCCCCCCTCCCCCCCCAAAAAAAGTTTTCTCACACATGTTGCTGCACACTGCCAATCTGCTGGCTGAAAGGCTTTTACACTTTCTGTAATTATTAATGTGGATCAATAGAAAGTAGAGCAACTCTAAACAACAAAAATGAGCTTTTTGGGCTAATAAAAACTAAACAACACAACCTCAAAATTGCACAAAGCAGGAAGTCGAGTGAATAATTTATTCTGAAAGTGTTTATCTGTATTACCTTACCTAAAAAAGACATATTTCACAAACTCATAAAGAGACTGATAATGTTGGTTAAGCACAAGACAGACTTATAAATCAGAAGCCATGTTTTAACGCTGCTCAGGTAACTGAGGACACGGCAGACAGCTGAAGACTTCTTCTCCGATACCGGGATGCAGTCGTCTGGAAAACATTAGGGGAACGGCTCCTCCAGGGCCACAAACTATCTGCACTTCACCGTGAAAGCATCTTTCCGAAATGAAATCCATTTGTAATTGCCTCACTTCTGCTTCTCAGAGGACCTCCTTTAAACGAGAGCAATTTGGATCCCTGATGGAGCCGTTTTCTGCTTTCTCACCTCCAGACTAAATCTGGGCAGAAAGAGAGGCAGCAGCGCCATCGTGTGGATTACTACGCAAAGCGCATGCACCCTGCTGCACTGCAGGATCATATATATGCAAGAGAAAAGATATCTGTAGATTAATCTATGTTCAGTTCTATATGCTATTCTAATATATTTAGGATTTATTCAGAGGAAGTTTGAGATTTTACAGGCTTACATTAAAAGATGGATGGATTTACTTTGGATGTGGGAGTTTTCCTGATTTTAACAAAGCAACAAATACTTCCTGTAAGTAAACATCACAATAAATCATTTTCAAGACAAAGCAATCAGGAGGATTGTTCACATCACAGTCGTGAGAATAGGATTACATTAGTTTAAAGAAAAAATAAAAACTCAAATCACCTCCAAACAGAATTTTTTTATATCTAAGTGCAACGAATGAAGCAAGAAAAGGTTTTCCTTTTGTTCTGATTACCAAATATGTCATATTTTTTGGTTTAATGGATATGATATCCGCTGTGCTTTCAAGCTGCGCAGCTCATAAATCATTTTGGTTCATATCTGAAATGAAATTTCCTGAGCCAGTAGGGTTTAATTCACTAAGTTTAAACAAAGGAGACAAAATCAAAATCTAAGCAACAAATTCAGTTCTAATTCTTTATGTATTATTAATAGAAACTTAATAATAAACGTCATTTTCAGTGAATTTTCATTACAGATTCTAAGTTATTCACTCAATTTCTTCTTCATAATAATAAATTCACCTCTCGCTCTTGAAGTATTTTTGGACAAGAATCAAACTCGACATATTGCTACTTTTACTTGGTGTCTGTTACAAGTTGTGGAAAAAAAATTACTGGACTTAAACGTTCAGCAGTTTCTGATATTAAAATAGATTTCATATGCAAATAAACAACACAATAGTTTAGGTAACATGTTAAGCACATCTCATTAACAAATCATTTCTAATCCAACAGGTAAATTAATATTATATTATCTTTTATCTGACCCTGTAAAAGAGTGCTTCAAGGTATCTCTTTGCAGACACATTTTTCTCGTGCTCTAATGCCAAATTTATGTATTTTTTTGGTGCAAAATGTGAGCAAACCTGCATTTGCATGCCCCAATTCTGAAACAAGACACAAAGGCAGATCTGCTCCTAAAATAGCTCCAGTGAACAGCAGCGTCCCTGGGCTCACTCTGCCTGCCCACAGTTAAATGAAGTATTATGTCTACATGCATTTAGAGGAAACTCCTCCCATTTTTATGTACAGCGAACACAAAACATTACAATAAGCCTCCAAAAAGAGAATTATAAAGTTTAAAAAAATCCTAAACTTTTCTCATGTTGACATATTTATCCAACATTATTGAGCTGAAATACAAATCAGCGTTAATTTACTAACATGTCATATTTAAGGTCAAAAAATTTGCCTGAGGACTGAGAGTGATGTCAAGCTGGGTTTGTCTGTTCATCCTGGAAGTAAGCAATAAATGGCCGCCTTTTCAAAATAAAGTTATTTTAAATTATTTACCATTGACGAGGAGGTATAGCTAATGTCTTAATTAGAGTCTGGTTACTAGCTGACTTAAATTTTACTTGTATTTGTACTGTATGCAGTAATAAATGGATAGTCAAAAAGGTGATGTTTTTTCTTCCCCATTATAAATGTGACGAGTACTTTATGAGCTTTGTAAAAAAAAAAAAAAGGAACTATATCTTTACTATGACTTTGTGTTTCCAAGTGTTTTCAGATTTTTTTTTTTTTTAAATAAATTTCAACAATCAGTGGAGGCATTAGGAGTCCAACAGTAATCCTTCTGGCAGGGTCGGCTGTGAGGTCAGCCTGTAGATGACTGGTAATCTAACAGGTGAGAGGTGTGTGTGCACACCGTCTCCCTCTGCAGTGTGTCGTCAGAGTGTGTGTGGGATCAGGCAGTATTTTAAATCTAACCCCCCAAACTGCACATATGTGCCCAGTCACACTGAGCCGTGTTCCAGCTCCATCAACAGCATCCTCTCTTGTCTCTGCGCACCCAGCAGCATCTGTTGCCCCTGGCAATTTCATAAAACCAGGAGATAAATTCACTTCTTTTTTTTTCTTTTTTTAGGATTTATTCTCTTTTTCTGTGTGTGTGTTCTGGGAAACAATTCCTCAAATTAGTTTTTATTTTGATCTCATCTTGTGTCCTGCCAGCATCTCTCTGCAGCATCTCCTTCAGGTAGAGCGGTGACCTCCCCATGACCTCAGGGACTCCTCTAGTTACACTGTGCATTCATATGCACTCACCGTAAATCAGCAAGAATAGAGCATTCTGACATCCTGAAAGAAAAAACCTACATATGCAGTACATATGGGTGTGCATTTTTAGACTTTTTTGGTAACATTTAGCTTAAAATTCTGCAACAAACTTTCCGTAAAGAAAGAATTTAAGAACTAGAAGCTTTATCTTCTCTGTGCTGAACTGTGTGGTAGCCTGGAGACAGACTATTTTTAATGCAGTGATGAGTCCACTTAGACGAGGATAGATTAAAGAGTGGGCTGCAAACAAAGCTGGAGGAAAGAGTCTCTTTCTGATGGAAAATTTCCTGTTTACAATGTCCTACCATCTAACTGTCAACACGTTTAATTCTGGATTCTTCTCTTATTCTTGAAACTGAACATTTCTTTTAAGATGATAACAGGAATCGTTGGCTTTCTGTTTTGTGGGGAGTAAAACACACACCATTTTTTTAGTCTAAAATTGGAAAGACAAGACGACATGTTATTGACATGAGCCAGATTTGTGTTGATCTTTATAAGTCAAATCAAGAAACAACGCAAAATACAAAGGGAGGATCCTAAGTTAGTACCATATGCTCATTACACTTTCTAGAAAACTAAATGCATCTTTTTAATCAAGAATATTTCTCAAATTAATCCCACAGAGCTTTACATACAATATAAAACCATCTACAGGGCTCCTCTGGAGAAGACTAGAATTTGATTTTGGTATTTTCAAGGTTTTTGGGTCTGGCGAAAATAGAAATTAGAGGAAGTAAATACATTTATTTTCATCCCCACTCTTGGTTTAAAAGTGGTTCCTCCCTGTCTGTCCATCAAACCATTTAGGTGTCCATGCATTCATTCATTCATTTGTCCATAATGGACTAAATAAGGGCTGAAAACTCCAAAACTCTGTCAATTTTACAAGACAAATATGTCAAACCGTATTATTCTAAGATATTATGGTGATGCAACATTAAATATCATCACTTTGTTGAAATAATATCCTAAATTTTTCCCCTAAAGATAATGTAAAAATCACTTTTGGCAAAAACAACAACAAAAAAACAAAAAAAACAAACAAAAAAAAAAACAAAACAAGGCTTTTATTTTGGGAAGGTGATGACAAAGAAGTTAGTTTAAATGATCTGATTTCATTCAGTGCTGCAACAGAAAACTTTCTCTTCATTGTGAAAACATTTTAGCCTAAAATCGATTTCAAAACTGCAGATTCAGACTTTTATTTACTCCCTGCTGTGTGCTTGTGCGCCCCTTAGCTGCAGAACACCAACCAGAACGGATGCAAAGTTACAACATTCATATAAAACAGAATTTACAGCTCCAGAGTGTCCGATGTGGAGTTGATTTCATGTTATCACATAAACATGAGGATGTATTAACACATTTTCTATGTCACATTCAGAGGAGCAGAAACAGCAGCAGCAGCAGCAGCAGCAGCAGCGCAGTGAGTGGGCGGTATCCCCAGTTTGATGAAACATCTTGCATCCCACATGCTTATATAACTCCCTCTCTACCTCCTCCAGCTGATCACTCATCACTTTATCCACTGCTGGGAAGGAGAAAAAAAACACCACTTCTCTCTGCTTTCCATCTCTCCCAGTCAAATCAGCCGAACAGGCGGCCTCCTGCAATCGAGCGTGATTCGGTTAAACCGTCGGCATCAAAAGCCCCCCGTCAGTCAGACGGGATCACGGCGCTGTAAATCACAGCTCCAGTGGAGATTTTGCGTCGTCGAAACCGAACAACAAACGCCGATTGCATCATCAGAACTCAGGCAACAAGCGTCGCTATCAGCAGGCTCGTTCACAAGAGGAGCGATGTTAACGATGCAGCAGCAAAACGCCACAGAACCAGAACGGCAGCAGGGCACACACTCCGTCTGCATCGTCAGCACACACAGCCCAGTAACGAGAAAAGCCCAGTGGGCGTTCAGGTTCACATCAGATCAGGTTAACGAACGCCAGCAGGGCCTGATGCTGACGGACAGTTTATCAACTACGGGACACAAATTCACCCTACTGCCAAGGTCAAAGATTTTATCTAAACTTTCATGGAAAAGATTGATGAATGTCTGAAGTGAGCAAAAGCACCTGATGTTAAAGAATAGCAGCGTTTAATGAGAGAAAATGGTAATCATGGGTTTTAGCGACCACAGCCACTGAAATCATCAACTTCCTCTTAAAAAATGCTTTAACTGGATATTTTAATAGTTCAAACATTAAATATGCCTTCATGTGCATTGATACGCACAGAGGAAACCGTTTTAGCATGACTGCAGAAACTAACATCTAGGGTCCTCTGGTGAGAATAATCTGGAGGCTGCAGTTCAACAGCACAGCTCTGCTCTGCATTCTGGGTATATTAAAACACCTTATTAAGTTGCTCTACTTCAATCTATTTCCCCTTCTTGTCCACTGAGGTCATTCCTATAGATCATTTCCTCCTCCACTGACACTAAGCCTTTCTAAAGGCACTGACCTCAAAACTGTTAAACTTTTGTCCAAGATGCTGAAAAGCCAAGTTTGTGTCAGAAAGCCAGTCAGCTCTTCCATTTCTGATTAGAAGACCAGTAAAATATCCAACTGGAATGATGCTAAAGGTTTGTTAAAGTTTGTAACACAGAGCCAGTATTAAGAGCTCTTTAAGTCACATTTAGGTCTCTGTGCACAGCTTGATCTCTGAAGTGCAGAAATCCATAATAAATCCATTTGTTCCCATTAAATTACAGTTATATTATTATTATCACTCCACCTGTTCACATAACAGGCTGAGGCCCATGCTGAGTGCATGCAAGCTTCTGATAGAAACTTTATTCCTCTTAAAGCTGAGGTTTGCAGCCTTTATGTCACTAAAAGACAGAGTGCCTTTGCTTTATTTTGGATTATTTACAGCTTTGGACCGACTTTTTGTTGATGCAGCAGAACCACGAGTACAGATTAACTACTGTTCTTA